GAGAAGGCCATTCTTTGTGTTCTTTTTGAAGAATTTTCGGAGCCTGATGAAATCGGTATAAATACGTGTTTAATACTGCAAAATACGCTCGATGTTACAGTCACTGCCCTTGCCCTCCAGAATAAAAGAGAACATGGCAATCGTGAAGGGATTTGTGGAAATTGTGGTTCCTAATTATTGTGATCCAAAATTTGCCTCGCATTTCAGGATGAAAAGACAAAATTTCAGGTGAAGGATAATCCACTTCTTACCTCCAAGATGACCTTATTAGTCTTCGAGCCGGTCACGTGACTGAATATGAACTTTAGTATACTTTTTATTTTTTTATACTTTTTATTTTTTTATTTTTACATTATTAAAACTGAATAGTTATATCGTCCTGACCTTGGTGTGAACGGCCCTGTTTTCACACGGAACGCGGCAGTCGCGACTCGCGAGTATAGTTCACTTTCACTGGGAGGCGGAGCGGAAGCCGTGCTCGTGCACACGAAATCCTGCCGCTTCCACGGGCACGGCGCATTGCGGCAGGCCCGCCAAAGATAAAAATGCTTTATGTTTTTGTAAGCGGCAGCCGCGTCGGCTTTCAGCAAGATTATTAACAACCAATCACTGAACATTTCACTGATGAAGATCATTTTAAATGTTACAGAATTTCCAGAGTTTTATGACCCATCAAAAATCTCTTAAAAACGAATCCAGAGCATGCGTTTACGTGTCGGTTTGCCAGGTAGAAATACAATTACGTGTAAAATGTCATAGTTAACTGCGTCTAAACTACGACATGAAAACTACGCTAGTCATAGTACCATTAAATGATAAATAGCAAATAACACATACAAAAGTTCCGTTATGTTTTATTTAGCTTTTAGCAGTGTTGGGGAAAGTTACTTTTAAAAGTAATGCATTACAATATTGCGTTACTTCCTAAAAAAGTAACTAATTACGGTACTTAGTTACTTTTAATGGAAAGTAATGCGTTACGTTACTTTCGCGTTACTTTTTAAATATGAGCAGGGCTTGATTGTTTTTAAGCGTTACTTGTAATGCGTTACCCCCAACACTGGCTTTTAGTAAATATAAATGTGGCAACATCCGCCCCGAGACCGCGTCGCAAACAGCACCTCTACTGCACAAAACGCTTCCACTATATAAAGCGGCGGCCGCGCGGCGATGGCACCGCTTGCCGCGTCCCGTGTGGCAGGTATGGCCAGTTGCTATGACAACAGGCCAGCACGTCCTCTTCTTCAGTGGTGCTAGAGGGTCTCTCGTAGGGGGATCGGGTAGACATGATGTTCAGCTGGAGAGGGACACAACAGAACGGCAGGGTATTTAGAGCTTGGCTGCGAGACTGACGCACAACTGCTGCGTTACACCTGCACAAGAGAGTAATCGCTGGACAAATATGCCCTATCATGGCATTTTCCATCAAGGACATTTTACTGAGGCGAATATGATTAGCTTCCACCCAACGGCTTATTACAGAGACAGTGGTTACATTAAGTAATCGTGTGAAACGAGGTCACTTCTTTAAAGTAATATACCATCAGCTTTTACAATGGTAGATATGGGGTTGTAGTTGGACTTCCCTGGTGTGTGTGTGTGTGTGTGTGTGTGTGTGTGTGTGTATATATATATATACAGTGGGTACGGAAAGTATTCAGACCCCCTTAAATTTTTCACTCCATACATACACAAATACGTTTAGATTTATTTAGATATTATATATGGATAAATATAAATATCCTATTAAAAATCCATTAGATTATATATTTTTCATTATTATTTCTATTCTATAATATTTATTTAATATATTTATGTTGTATATTGTATTTATTTTCATTTTATTTGAAGTACATAAATAAATATATTTTGTTTATATTACATACTATTTATATATTATATATTGTGTATTGTTTTATTTGTTTATGTTTCATTATGGGTTTTTTTTTTCACAGAATGTGTGAATACAGAACTCACACATAGGCACAATTTTAATAAAACCTATTCTGAAAAGACCAACATGCTGGTTAGTGGTGGACTAGCATAGCTTTGAACCTACCGGTTAAGAGGGACACCAGCATCCAAAACACAACATATGCTGAAGGGAAGACTTTAAAGGCTTTTATAGAACATAGGGCCTATAGTCTGGACTGAAAGCAAGCGGTGAGTCATAGGTGTGTCTGAATATATACACAACCACATTGTCATGAGTGAGTCACATGCATCCAATAATAATGTGTGAGAATTATGCTTCTGCAGGTGGTGTTCAGGGCATAAACTTGACAGTATCAAAATGTCCTGTTTGAAATATAACCTTACCTAGCACAGCTATAAGTCATCCTCCACCAACACTGATAAATTTGTGCAATGAACATTCTGTAAAAGTTGCAATGTCCTTGCTTTTTCCAAGAAATGGCACAACAGCAGCAATCATTTCCGGATATAAAATGTGAGTCAGTGCCATGAGTCTGGTGCTCAGATATGCTCATAAATTTCATTCTCAGAATGTTATGTAACCCAAGTTTTCAATGTGAATGAAGATATATGCTTGTGTTTGTACGCTAGCACGGCATATTCTCTTACTGTGCAACCAACAAAGCCAGTAACCACCGGCCGTCCACCCCCACACTGAGCTTGTAAACAAAACAACAGCTCACGCCTTACAAGCTGCAAAATGTGGGCTTACACAAATGCCAGCCAAAATCCTACCAATGCATTGTTTCATTGTTTATATATATATATATCTTAAATAAATAAAAAATAAATGCAACAATGTACTATAAAAATACATTATCTACATAATATAATACATAAATATGTTATAAATTATTGAAATAAAAACAATATTTTAATATAGAAATATTATTAGTAATATATAGTCTATATAGATATATGTATTTAAAATACAATTATGAATTATTATTATTAATGTAACATTATCATATATATAATTTTATAGTAATACATTATATATATATTTTTTTTGTTGTTGTTGTTGTTGTTGTTGTTTTATTTTTTTTAAACTAATTTAAATTTAAGAAATGCATGTTCTGTTCCATGTATATAGGAGACATGCTGATCAAGCTTGCTTCAACCTCGAGACGTCAGCGTCAGACAGATTCCGAGATGTATGCAATTACTGCCCTCCACTGGTCAAATAGCTAATTGCAATTAAAACAATAGATTTGTGATGTCTATGATGGCAGCCCCTTTATCAGCATTGTTATACAACGCCTGAGGTTTTTTGCGATTGTAGTAATTGAAGTTATATTTTTAGTATTGTTTTAGATATGTAAACATGCCGTATCATATATTGGCCGTGCTGAGTGGAGGGGGAGGGCTTGTTCGAGAAATGGAAAGTTGTAGTGAGGTGCAGGAAGCGCATGTGTGGGTGTTTGAAGCGGAGGCCAGTTCTCAAGGTCCCGAGGCTACGATATTTATAACCCTGCTGGTTCACCCTTGCACTTGCTTGCTTTCTCTTGCCTCATAGATGAAGAAGCGTCTTAATCCAGGTCACTGCACAATTCTGAGAGATGCTAGTTTTAGCTTTCTGCATGAGTGGATAAGGTGCATTTGTAGCCTACCACAGATTTGCACATTTTCCATGACCATGCGAAACCTGACATAACTTGAGTGTTTAATATAGCTTATATCTTTATTGTTGCCCTCCTTTGTTTGTTTGGAATGTTTAATTTCCAATAGAATATCGGTTCACTTGATTCGACGCATCCTGATGTAGTTGATTGTCCTACATTAGCACATCTAGAAGTACTACCCGATTGTCCTGCAGAGAGAACCTTGAATAGCATCTCCCCACAATCATCCTGCTAATCTGCATCCAACTGTTCCTGGGCGGGGTCATCGCCGCCCCGCAGGGGTCCTCAGTCTGCTACATTGTTTAGAATGCTAAAGAGGAGCATAATAGATGGGTGATTGTGATGTAGTGAAAGCACAATGATATTCTTTGATGAGCCATTAATGAGTAATACCAACGCCAGTATCTTATTTGTAGAATCTTTGCTGATTTTGGCATTTAATGCTAATTAAATTTTCACAATTTTCAGTTTTAGAATTAAATACTAATCACATTTTCTGAGATTGTATTTTAATTAAAGCAGAGAGCAAAATTGGTTTAACAATTTTTAACTTCTCAATATAGTTCTTACACAAACATGCAAATGTTGCAAAAACTTGTTTTTTAACGAAGAAACAACCATGTTTCATTCATTTTACTCCTTTTACTAATCTGCACGTGATAAAAATATAAGTTTTGGTCAATAGAGATTTAAAACGGGTTATAATCAGTTCCTCATAAGGCTATACAAATATAATCAGATGTATAATCGTGTGCTCAAAAGGAAACATGAATTATAATGCAGAGCGGATTTCGCATGAAAAGTAGCCTAAAAAGATAATCAAATGTATTTATATAGGCTATAGTGTTTCTTGCAAAAAATTTAAGATTGTGAAACAATTTCACTGCAGATAAATTCAGTGACCTTGTCTTCTGAGCTTATGTTGATATTGTCAACCTCTAATGTCACCACTATTTAAAAAATCGATAACCACAGATTATGCAATATAAGTTAATTATTTTTGAATAATGATTTAGAATAATCGAGCATTGCATTGTAGCATAGGCCTACATCTACAGAAAAATAAAAGGTTTCATGGGATTTTAGAAACATGTTGTAGTACCTTATTCAGTTTTATTCAAATATTTCAACAAATAGAAAACAACAACAACACATTTTTGCTTATGAAATGGTAACGATGAATATGTTTTTGTGATATTATATAATAGTAACTTTATAGAAGATAAAATCTTATTTTTCTGTAAGAGCATAATTAACATTCACAGTGACAAAGGTAGGCTTTTTTTATTGCAAGAAAACAAACAGCTTTGCTACTCACAAAGTCCGACAAAGGTAGCCTATTCTTTATTCATGTAAAAACCCTGTGACGCGGCGCGATGTGAACACGCCCTCCGAGATCTGCAGTCACGTGGAGCCTTTAAACTCGCGCCATTTTCTGTGCAAGCTCTATTCTGCCGCAGTTGGCGTCGCGTTCAGCTCTCTTTCTTTGTGTTCGAGAAAAACAGGTAAGAAATATAGCCCTTCCTCGAGTGTTTTTGGTCTAAAATTAAACGTTTTGTTCTGATGTTGCATTATATTGGTGTGTAGTTTGCAGTGGTGGTTTATTAGTTGTATTTAGACGGTTTTCGATCTATTAGCGTATTAATATTTTTTAATGAAAAAACATTTTGTTGGCATTTTGCATTATAAGAGCTGTTTTACTTCAAATTCGTCGAATGTAGTGTGTAAATATTTATTTCTGTCGGATTTTATAGGTTTCTTTGTTCCTTGTATAAAGCGCCTCGTGACCTAGTTCTACTGACCCACTTTTCACAAAAGTGGCGCATGTAATAACGAATGGTTATTTTTCATACGGTATTTAAAAATTTACCTCGATAAAGATCTGAAAACAGAATTCAAAGGGATTGTATCTGATGAAACGTGTCTTTGTGGCAAAATGGCTGCAGCACGTTGTGAGAAGACGAGGGTTGGGCAGAAAATGGCGCTTCCTTGTTGCGCACTTTAAAATACGATGCGCGTGAAGCCGCGCGATAAATTGGTTTAGTCTTTTTAGATCTTTTTTTTTATTGACTGAGTTTTTACGTGCAAAATGTATGTGTGTATATATATA